GGTGGGCAATAGACGGAAGCAGTACTGCATGTCAGGATGTAAGAACAACACACATGAAGCCATATACTGTAGATGGCGCAATGAAGGAGGAACGCTGGATAGTGGCAAGCAACTACGGTCATCAATCTAAATCATCGGAAAATCCTGCCAGCCCACAATCTCCTGGCCTCATCATTCTTCTTCTCAGGATGCAGCTGCAATCTACAGGTTTCCGCCTGTCGGAGGGCAAGTCTGTGTCAGTTATCAAAGAAATACATGGCTTGCTTGGGCTGCAGGCCTCAGACTCATACTCCGACTCTGAATAGTCAGAATCATGCTTGAGTCCTTCCCAAAGCCTTCTTCCAAAGGTTTCATCTGGATCCTGCAGTTTTTGGCTGCACAAGGGAAAATATTGCAAATATGAAATGAAACACTTGGTAGTCACCTCACCAGGAGGATGCGCTGAAGCAGGCGAAGGAGGAGCCTTTGCAAAAGAACAAGAACTGAAAATATGTACTGTAGATGGCGCAACTCAGATCGCATGACAAACGGAAAGACATATGAAGCAGTACTTGATTGCAAGCCAGTGCTGTTTTTCCACAACCGTGAAGCTGAATGAATAACACTAGATAGTGGCATAAACCAGTACTGTAGTCAATCCAGCCAGCAAAACCCAAGAGGACAGTAATCCGGGAGTTGGCTGAGTTCCACCAGTTTCTGCCTGCCGCCGGGCAAAAGCAGTCTTGTCAGGGTGGTGCTTCTTGTCAGGATGTTGCTTGAACAAGAAGGACATGGGCAAGAACTACAGTGTTGAGCGTTGATTGCACTTCCAAACCCTGGCAGCCTTTGCTGTCTTCTGTTTCTTTGATGCACTCGCAGTGTCATCACCCACCTGCTGCAGAGACAGCTCAGCAAAGACAAAAATAACAACCATTGCGAATGAAAGCCTTGTGAAAAGTGAAAAGAACAAGGATTACAGTAGAAATGAAATCCAACCCGCCAGAACAAATGCTGCGCGCCTTTGCATCGTCATGACGTTTCTTGTCCTTTCTAGATGGCGCAACTTTCATGGAACGACAAGATGGCATGATAGCGTGATGTCACACAACAAAGATTACGGGCAAGAATGAAACAACACTTCTCCTGTTCCTTTTTCTCCTTTACCAATCTGACCAGATCCTGCATAGATGGCAACTTTACAGAAAGGTGACAAGAGCCTGTCACGCTGCAATGTACAGTAACAGTACTTCTCCTGTTGCCTTTCTTTCTCAAGTTTCTTTTGGTACTTCTCAAAATAGGCTTTGGGCACCTCCAAACCAATGCAGCATTTCTACTGCAACTTACAGCAAACAGAGGCTGTGCCTGACAGAAACAAGTCACAATTGGCAAACCAACTTCAGCACATTCATGTGATTTTTCTTCTTTAGGACGCTTTGGCTTCCAAGCCTTTGGATCCCGGGCGATTGTGGACACCTCACATAGATGGCGCAACACACAACAGAGAGAAACCAGAGCAGCAACCACGCAAAATCTCACTGGCCACCGTTGAAACTTAACCACTCCCTGATCAAACTACAGTAGGTGATTCTGGGTTTCCAAGCCTCTGCATCCTGGGCGGTTCCAGACACCTCATAGATGGCGCAACACAAAAACAAGTAGAAACCAGAGAAGCAAACGCCAAGGTCTGACCGGCCACCATTGAAAAATAGCCCAGCAAGACAAGCATGCATACTTCCAACTTGTTTGGACTCTTTTCCCTCTTTCCGAACCTGCATTGGTTCAGCTGGTTCAGCGGGAGCGGGCACTTCTGAATTTGCTTTCTTTGCATCCACCTTCGAGCGGCTGCAAAAAGGCAGAGATGGACAGACCTACTGTAAAATAAAACACTAAGAGAAATTTTGCAAGGACCTCTCTATTTTTGACAGCTAGTTGAAAAGGATGAACCGATCCCTGAATTTCACAAACCAAGTGATTCTGGGTTTCCTATATCCTGGGCGGTCGGCGGTTGCAGACACCTCACATATATAGATGGC